TACTGAGTTTTCAGTCACCTGCTTTGCGTAGCTTACAGCAAGGTGGTACGCTGCTGTCTCTTTCTTGTTAAGTCAATAGTCGAGGTATTAAGAAGGAAGCTTTGGGATGGGATATGAAGATGTAAGTAGAAATGGCCTTAAAGGACTGGGATGCAGGAGGTTTAAGACCACAACTTGGAATTACTGTGGTAGGGTGAGGTGTATGGAACACACAGGACACAAATCAATAGGGATCTGGTCTTCAGTATTTCTTCTCACAGAACAACTTTTCTAATATTAAAGCTTGGCTGTATAGATGCAAGTCAATTGCATCCTCTGCCTGCTTTTTGGCTCCCCCCTAAATCCTTCCCCAAGAAAAGAAAAAAAAGTAGAAAAAAAACACAAAACAAAAATCTGTAATTACGTTACTTTTTCTTTTATTTTTGTGCAACTGAATTTCGAGGAGTTGTACCAAGATTTTTTTTTTTAAACTACCTGATTCATTGACCTTAATAGCAAGATAAATATTGAGCAGTTTCTTCAAGTCCATTATTGTGTATAGGTACCCTGAGGATAATGAGTGTATATGCACAGGCAACAGAATGAAAGCAAAATCTGTTTACAGAATTAGGCTATATTTAAGGATACTGAAATTTCTGCCAAACAAGGAGCACAGTGAAATTTCATCTGCCAGTTATGTTGCTCTTAATGTTCTTTAATTTAGCAGACAAGGTAGTTTGGTTGTAATTAAGCTTTTCTAATATTGTTGTTCCCCAAGGTTGTGGCATAAATCATTTTACTCTGTAGTTTTCTGCATCTTCACTGCTTCCATTTTTCCTGTATAATTCTTCCATAAACAGTCTCTGGGATGCAGGAGAACTCCATGCTGTAAATTACTTCTTGTGTACGTTATATAATTTTGAATATATGCAGTTGAATTTCTTTTTCCCGAGCCTTTTATTCAAGTTTCCTGGTTTTCTTGGTGCTGTTTCTTCTATGTGCATACCCCTCCTGCTGTGGTAACAAACATTTTTTGCCCAAAATAACTCTCGTGGCAATTTCTGTTACTCCTCGCTGCTTTTTGTATAGGTAGACCTGGCAATCAGGCTGAATTGCTCAACAGTTCTTACTGAAGGACAAGAGGCAATGGGCACGCTGAAATAAAAGAAATTACATTTAAACATAAGAAAAAGCTTTTTTTTCTTGTGACTGAACACTGAACAGGTCGTCTGGAGAGGTTGTGGAGTCTCCATCCTTGGAGATATTTAAAACCTGGCCCCCAGCAACCCTGCCCTGAGGGTTGACCCTGCCCTGAGCAGGGAGATTGGACTGGATGATGCCCAGGGTCAGTTCCCACCTCAGCCATTCTCTGGTTCTGTGAAGTAATCTGGTTTGTCTTAGCTGCAAGTCACTTCAAGATAGCCACAGTTTGTAGTTTCTTTCTACAAAGTTATGCAGCAGGGCAAGTTGTAGTCATTCTCTCCTGCCCATCTCTTCTCCCCAAACAATTTCAAAAGAAAACCCTAACCAACCCTTAAAGTCTTGGACCATATTTATGAGTCTTAAGAAAGATACCTTCCAACTTGAATTCCAGATATATTCAACTTACCCGTTCAGTCTTTTCTATAATAAAACAGGGTTGCAAAAAGTTGTTTTCAAGACTTGTTGCACAGAGGACTGGTTTAATTTAAGTAAAGATTTTACTTGGGAGAAAATATGTTTTCCCAAACCATCCTTTCAGGATTTAAAAGGAGAATGAGGTAGCATGAAAAAATTGCATCTCTTAACTGCAGGAGACACAACTGCAGGTTGTGTCTCCTCCCATGAGCCTAGCCCTGTCATACGTTGCATCTGACTTTCTATTTGAATGACCTGGTGTAGATCTGAATTTCTGTCTTTAGGTAAAAACAAAACAAACAAATAATCAAACATACATATTGGTATAACTTTCCACTAGCATTTTCAATAAACCAAAAGACATTTCTTGGAAAACTTAACCCACTAAGAAAGCAACCTTGTGGGACAGAGTGGAAGTAGTAGAGGAATTCTAAGCCCTGGTCCATTGAGGTAGAAGAGAAGAAATTGGAAGCCCATTCCAAACTCTATTCTCTTATTTTTTTGACTAATTGTTTTTTCAAAACATATTGTGTGGACTTTTATTCTTCTTAAGCTTTCTTTCAGTCTTACCATTTGACTTAAGAAATAGTACTCTCCACAACAACAGGACTTTTATTAATGTACTAGAACACTTCTTGACCATAGAAGAGCATATATAGAAATAGTCATATACTAGTTCACTTATACTGGTAAGTATTTGTATGATTGTTTGTGCTGTGAGGTCTGACCTTAATAGTTTGTGTGATTATTGACCTTACACACAGTGTGTTCCACCTAAAAGTAAATTAGGGGTGTATAACTTTTTGTGGGGAAAAAAAAAATCTACGGTATCATCTATTGTCCTATGTGCAGCTTTTTTTTTTTTTTTTTACAAAAAAACCCTGAACAAACAAATCCTCATGCTGTAACAGAATAATTTGAAGTACAGCACCAATAGTTGAGATTATATTTCAGTTAATCTGAAATATTTAAATACTGAATAACAGAGAGGCAGGCTACCTTGTTTTATATAACAAAGAAAGTATTTTTCTGTATTCTGAAAGTTACAAATCAGGCATGCATCCACTATAACAATGTGCGTTTTATTTTTCATTGCTGACAGGTGGTAACTCCTCCAAATCTTCCAAGTTTTTGGGACTTAGCAGCATATTATTTTCATTATGAAAGAAATCGATGCAGCACAGTAAGGCCCCTTTATGTTTGTGCCCACACTATGTATAAGCATGCCATTTAATCGCATGGTAGCTAAAACTGCATTTAGGCATTCCTTCACTTTTAGGAACAGAACTTGCCATTTTACTTGGGGAAATGTTTCCAATATTCCTCTTGCCTTTTTTTTTTCCCTGTGGTACTATAGTTGTGCAGGTTATCATGCGTCTTGTGTTAGTAACTGGTACCTTTCCCATTCCAGCGTTGTGTCAGCTCACCACCAGTCAGTGCAAGAAGACATAGTGGCATGTTCCTTGCTCTGCCCTCTGCTGGTTTAGGAACCATCTCATTCATCATACCTGTGACATAATAATTTGTACTACTTCATATTAATATAGCTTGTCACCATCTTAAAAGAAAACACCTCACTCCTGATTTGGATTAAAAGAAAATAATAAATTGAATTGTTTAAATAGTAATAATGGAGTTTTGATTATGATTGAGTGAAATAAGCTGCAAATACTTTGTGGTAGATAGTTCTTTCAAAGATTAAATTACAGCAGAGAACATGTTATAACTCAGCGGCACTTCGCGTCAGGTTCTGTTTTATAAATGATGGTTACTTTTCTCTTTCTTCAGCTTCTGGAATTCACAGAGATATTTTCACAGCCACCATTGTTTAGAAAGTTGGCTGAGATAGCATTTTAAAAAAAGAAACCACGGTAGCTGATAGTATGGAGTAGTGTGTATGTGCACATATTACATGAAGAATAGTGAAAAGAAATTTCCTTCAAAGTACTGATTCTTTTACATAAAATTTTCCATACATCTCTCACGATTCTGTGTTTTTCCCCCATTTTTATCCTTGTCTATTCCACAAAACATTTCAGACTTAAAGCAGCTGAATTAAAGACAGAACATTCTAAGGAACAGTGCTCTCTCGAGTATATGTGAATATAAAGTACTGCAAGTATTTGTTCGTATTAAATCTTCAAACATTTCCCCTGGATGTCTGATTTCCTGGAAGAATTTTAGTGAACTTTGGGGAAAAAGACACATTTACAATTAACTTTGCTTGCCTTAATTTTTTTTTTAAATATGAATTGTGGTTAAGTCACTAATGTTTGTCTTACAAATAGGAGGCTCTTTTATTATGCCCAGGATTTTACATTTTAAATAAGTGTTTTTGTTTATGCGGGCCTTTATTTAGATTCAGAAGTTACAGTAAACCTTTCTCATTTACTAAAGTTTTGATTCCTCACACACACTTTTTTTTTTTACTCGTTTTATTACATTTTAAATATTGTCAAATTTAAATTATGTTTCTGGGAAATTTAGCTAGCTTTATTCACTGTTTAATAAAAATGAAGTTGGAAAGTTTCTTGTGTGTTGTGTTCATTATCTTATTTTTTGAAAGACTGGATACTTGAATGTGTTAATTAAATTTACTGATATCTGTTGTTTAAAATGTTCACATTAAAAAACCTGTTTTGTTTAGCATGCCCTCCCTTTCTGAAAATAGTACTAAGGTTTATCTTTGGGATTATTAATGCCATTGATGCAACAGAGTACGTGTGTAATGGTGACCATCTTGTTACATGCTGTTCTGTGACTTCAGTATTAAAGCCTTGTCATCTCCTCTCTGCACTTCGTCAAGTACATGTAGCTCTGCTTTGAGAAGTGCAACTTCTGTTCCTTTTGTAATGTTTGATTCTTGAACCTTTTCTTCATGAGTATTTAAAAGCTATTTTTAACACTGAAAAATTGCTCCCTTTTCTTGTCCTTTGGAGTGATTCAGATGGAGTTTCTATGTATGGTGTCTGTTTTGCTTTTCTTGAAAATATTAGTTTGCTTAACCACCAGTATGTTTCATCTGTCTAACCCTTGAAAGGCTCCAAAGAATATTGAAAGCAATACTGTGTTTGTAGTACTTCTTTTTCTTGTTCCATTGTTAGGTTGGGAAAGGTATTCTAAGAAATCACATATGTGTTTTAAAAAAAAAAAAAAAAAAAAGTATGAGGTTCCAAAACACAAAGTCCTGAAAAAGATATTTTGCATCCTAAGTTCTTGTTAAGTAACCACATAAAACAAAACAGTCTCCACAGTATGAAGTCTTTTCCCATCTCACTGAAAATACAGTTCGTACTATTCACAGAATTGTTTGTCCACTGTTTATGTAATTGTTTTATACAGAATGTAACTGCTTCATAGCTTCCATGATTTTTTGTTTTGTTTTGTTTTGTTTTGTTTTTTAGGAAGAACAGAACCGAGGCAAGCCCAACTGGGAACACCTGAATGAGGATTTACATGTACTTATCACTGTGGAGGATGCTCAGAACAGAGCAGAAATAAAACTGAAGAGGGCTGTTGAAGAAGTAAAAAAGTTACTGATACCTGCAGTAAGTATTTGTATGCAAGTCTTCGATTTCCATTTCCAGAAGTTACTTCTGAATTACAATTAATACTGCAGCAGTAAGATTAAGCTTGCAGAGTGGCATCCTAAAATGAAGTTTAGGTATTATTTTGTAATACTCTAGTGATCTTTAAAATGTCTCTTCCCAGATCAAATTATTCCTCAGAACAGAATAGTATTTTTAAGAGATGTTCATATTTTTGCCTGTTTTCGATACAGATGCAGGGAATTCTTACCATCTTTAAAAGGCAGTGCTGAACTGTTACACTAGCTTTCTCACCTTCTTTCAGTATAAGGATGCTTCACTTTAAACCTGGGGAAATATGACATGCTTTTATGTTTCACTTTGAGCTGATTCTGATACTTCAAGAAAAGAAGGCATGTTTTCTTAGATCATCACATTAAACACATTCCAAAAAGAACAAAACCCTTCAGAAACACCGTATCAAAAAACTTTGCTGTCAATATACTGGGGAAAAATAAACACAGTGAAACTGGAAAATGGGTTGTCTTTCTCATTTCCTGATAATATAAACTGCTGCCCAGCCAGATGACTTAAAGCCTTTTGCAGGGACCAGAATTACCCTGCAAGAGCCCTTCTCTTAGATCTGCTCTGTATTCTCACTCAAAGCAAGGTGACTCAGCGTGACTGTATAGTGCATCCCATGCCATTAACTTGCATCTTGTGCTGATCTTTACCACCACTTTTGTGCCATTATAAAATGATAAAAATAAATTATATCTTTTTCATTGGAGGAAAAATTTTCCATATTATGAGGAAAAATTGAGATTATCTTGTGAAAGAAAGTAGTAGGTGGTATTAAAATGACCTAGTGATTTTGGGTGCTTAGTGAATGCTAATAGATGCTGGCTGTGAGGAAACTTGTGACGACACATGCTGTATAAGCAAATTTATTCAGAACACATTTTTTAAAGTTACCAAAGATCAGGAGAGAGACTTAATTTTTGAATTAACAAAATAAGGTAGAATATTAAGCAGGAAGTATGAAAAAAATGTAGTTTAGACCTCTTCACATTGCACATTGTCAATCTCTGAAAGCAGAAGACAACTAGAGAAAGTAGATCTTCAGAATTTATTCATTTACTAAAGAGATCTTGAGCACATTAGGATTGAGTTTATAACAGGATTAGAAATGGTAATAAGAAAAAGATTTTTCTATATGGGCAAAACTTGAAACCCTTATGTTCATTCTCTAACTACTATGCAGCAAATAGTTTAAAAAACACAGAACTCAAACTTCCCTGTGATACAGAATTAATTTTGTCAAATGTCTGTTGATTCTTCTACCTCCCTTTTATTGCTGAATAATATGACTGAAGGGTCATGTTGAAGATGACCTGATAGGTCACAAAACCCCAATATGTCTGAAGTACTAATGTATACACTCTGTGTATGTTTGTGTTATGCTTGGTTTCTGGAGCTGGTGTATGGGTGTGTTTTGAGCCTCCAAAAAAACCTGAATACATTAGTATTTTTTCATTGTGATAGTGTCAGCCAGCTCTTTGTCTTGAAAATATTCTTCCTCGTTTAGTAACTTAATCAGTTGGGGGAGCTCTATAATCCTGATTACAGGATTTTTTTTTGTTGTTGTTTTAGTAAAAAACAACAACACAGGGCTAACTATTGTCCAGATATAGCATCAGTTGAAAAACACTTTGTTCATTTTGTTAACATTTTATATATAATGTGTAGGCATAAGAGATTTGGGCGGCGCTTATTACATGCACAAGAGTTAAAGGTCTGTTGGCTCTCATTTCTGAAAATTATGCCTCATTGAAACAGGCATGTGTAGTACATACTAATGAATTAGCATATAGGTGAACTTGTTTTTTGCACTATCTGTTGCATCTGTTCAATTAGTATAAAAAATGGCTGTTTAATCAAATTATGGTTTCAGGCAGTTGAAAAATTCTGTTTTAGGATTAAAAGATACGAATTTAAAACTTCTATGAAGGAAGCCATAAACCTTTAAATAATCAGGGTAAGCATGAGGAAAAAAGAAATCCTAGCTAATTATAATAAGATGGGGGAAATTGTGGATGTTGGAAGATTCCGAAGATGCTCTGAAATGTATTAATGGAAAATTGCAAATTCCCTTTCACGTGGTAGAATACCTGCAACTATTACTGTTTTCCAAATAAATGTCAGAGGACTAAAATTGATAAGAAGATATTAATATATTTCTGTTTTATCTCCATCCAACTTGAATAAAATTTGAAACGATTCAGTCTCATTCTTGTCATATAGTGGCAATGCTTTGGTTTTCTGAGATACATTTCAGAAAAACAAGCTAGTGTTAGAGATAAGGATTAGTTACTAATTTCTTGGAATAATCAGTTATTTTTATACTCAGGATATTAAAAAGCCTAATTACATTTTATAGCAAGAGTGCACAAATAGGCACATTTCTAAAATGGATTTCTATTTGAAGGTACTTGGGTGAACAGAGACTATTTCAGTAGCAAAGTGTGTTTCTTCTCATCTTTATGAATTTGGATCACTAGTGAATTTTTTTCCTTGTGGAAGTGAATTATTAATTTCCCTTTCCACTTGCTCTTGGATTTTTACCAAGATGGTGGTATAGTCAGACAGTTTATGTTTGGAATTGAAAAGGACAACTTGAGGCAGACTGGCTGAACAAGCCATTTTTTTCTCCCTAAGGAGAAAGGCCAAAAGCTTTCAAAACACTTCCCCCCTCCCCAAATTATTATTATTTTGTATTTAATTTGCATTTCTTTGGTATGAAACTCTTTTTAATTTTGGCTGTACTTCAAGTTCTATAGGACTAATTCTTTTCCCATAGTTCAGTGAGATACTGGTCATTATCTGGACCTGCAAGATCATATGGTACTGCTGCTTTCATGTTTTTCTCCGAAGAAAAACAGGAAGAAAAAAGCAGTCTTCAGGCTTTTGGGATCACATTGAGCTGTACCATCCTTATGCCTCCTTCTAAAGTGAATCCTACAGGTTATTGATCTCTCGTCTCTTCGTTGTGAGAGCTTTGACAGTTTATTTTTTTATTTGCAAGAGTTCAGTAAGGATGGGCAGTTCTCTTGCAAAGGAAAGACAAAAGATGCTCTGGATTGTGCACATAAGAAAAAACGCAGAGCCTGTGTAAGGGGACGTACATAATAATTAAGTATAGCATACCAAGTTACAGGGTTAAGGGTTTGCAATTATTCTTTGAGATCCTGGGCAGTAGGGCTGAATTCCTCTGCTAGAAATATGTAAGGCTTCTACATGTTCTAAGAGGTGTTGAATAAACTCTTCTAGCTGAATGTGTTTTCTAGATACTCCTTTTGTTATACAGATGTCCAGGTCTCTCTAATTACTAATTTGCCTTTATACTAACGGTCTTCATATAGGATGAGGCATGTACTACAGAATTCAAATTTCAGGCAAATACTTTTTACCCCTTTTTCCTTTGACTCCATATTCTTCCTTTCTGAGGACAAGATCATATTTCTGGCTTCTACTTAACTATTCTAATTTGGTCTGGAATTGGTGTTTTTCAGATTCTTTGTATTGCTCTTCCTGTGTTGGGGCAGCAGTAGTTTTGCTTGGTTGCTGCCTCCACCTTGTCTGAAGACAACTGCAACATAGTATTAGTCAGTGATGTTCCCTGTCAAACTGTGTGTATCATTTGCTGCTACGATAATGGAATTTTAAGATTGTGATGGGTAGGAAATAATGTTTCAGTAGAAGATTGTTCTATTTTGTTAGTACATTTGGTTCTTGCCTATAAGTTATTTTAGACTTTTCAGTCTTGAATATCTAAATTTAGCTGTATTGTATGGGGGAAAGTATCGTTATTTAAACAAAAAAAAAATCATTGGGCTTAATTAAAATAAATACTGCAGCAATATTGATTTCATAATGTCAAAATTCTTAGAGTGGATGAATGTCAATGGCAATGATTGATTTTTTTTTTAAGGTAATTCAGACACAAATCATGCTATATAAGAGATAAGATAATTATTCCTTTAATATGGAAAAACATTAATTATGACTTAAAGTAGATGGGAGTCAACAAGCAACCAATTTTATAATGGTCATTTTTGTGTATTTTTGTAGCAGCTTCATGCATTGGACAACAATTACCATCGGTCCTCGATAGTGTTCCCAAGCATTTCATCCTGTTTGGTATAGGTGTTTCAGTGTTGTAGTTGAGGAATTTAAAAATGGAGTAAGAAAAGATGCAAAATAAAGATGTTACTAGAACACAGTTTTCCACACCAAGGTGATCTATAACATAAGTTCATAGAGAGTCCAAATTACCAAAACCTAATAAGCCATTTAATAATAGAGGAAAGTTTGGATAATTTTTGCTGTATGGAAGAGCTGAAGTTGGAAATTAATTTTGCTAGTCTTCAGGTCAAATTAAAAAACCAAAACAAAACCAACTTTGCAGAGCTACGAAGCCTCAAATGTTAAAGCAGAAATACCAAACTGGCCTGAAGAGTGCTGGATTAACTGATGTTACTGTCCTTTAGCCATATCATAGTTGCTGCTACTGCTGTAGTCTGTTTCTAGCAAGCTGTTCGGAACGCTGAGTAAGTCTGAATTAGTGAAACTGTGTAATAAAGGAAGTAAAACATACACTCTTGCCTCTAAACATTTTCATAAACAACAGAGAGAAAATAGCTACGCCTAACAAATAATAGAGTAGTAAAACTCAGAATGAGAACAACTGTGTAAATACCTGGAAATTGCCCAAGAGGCTGAAGCAGTTGCTGAAAGTGATTGATTGAATCTTCTTGAGTTAACGTTTTACTATTGGGTGAATTTACTTTGGCCTGAAGGGCTGGTAATGTTAAGTGCAAGGCACTGCTAGAAAAGTAAAAGTAGGAGCAGCGAACAGAGTGCTTAGAAGATGTGTTAACCAGGGCAGTATGATAAGAAATACTGGCTGTTTTCAGAGGAAAATAAGCAACTGAACACTGTAAGATCTTGTATTTTACTTT